GACCCTGACTTTTTGGTGTTTTAGAGCTGAGTGTGAGGTGTTGCATTCCAGCTGCAATTCGATTGGTCAAGCCACTCGACTTTAAGCAAAACACATTTTACTTTTACACTACGGTTAAAATACAGGCAAAATAAAAGAATAGGCTTAACCATAACTTTATCGAAACGCTTATCAGAATAATAGATATGGTAACTATTACTACATATCTGTTCCAATATACCCTTCTCCCATAACCACACCCTTGGCAAAGCTAAATTCAGTAAAGTAGATTGTTCCATGTGCAATTCCAGCAACAGGAAGAGAACACCAGCTTTTAGCTCTAGAGAGGAAAATCAGCTTCCATATACAGCTTCAAGACCCCAACGATTGCAGAAAGCTAAAACTAAAAATCCTGGTTATATGGGAGCTTAGCAACACCCGTTCAGGCTGCTTCTACTGTTCAAACTTTTACAAAAACAACCCAAGACCTCACAGGCTGTTTTCTTTATTGGCTTTGAGCAGCCACTCGGTGCCTCTGTCTCAACGTTTCTTCATTTATATATAAAAAAAACAAGGCAAACTAACCTCTTAAAGCCATGGTGAAGTCACATTGGGAATTGAAGAAGGGTCCTGGAGATATCGCTGGACTCGGAAACGTTTCCTCTGTCTACGGCCCTGCAGAGATTCTGCAGCACTTTGCAACATCTCTCAGACATATAGACAGTGTGTAAACTTTTCAGGGTGTGTATATTTCTATTGAAGTACTGAATTTAAGTAAATATTATTGCTGCTTGGGCTGTGAGAGTGTCTGTACCTCTAGACCAGGAGGCCCAGATTCAAGTTCAACCTGCTCCAGAAGTATCTCTGAACAGACTGATTAGAAAAAAAGGTTAAATTAAAGAGAGAAAATATTACTTTTAGTTTAGAGATAGCAAGAACTGCTGATGCTGGAGTCGGACAACAAGGTGTAGAGCTGGATGAACACAGCAGGCCAGGCAGCATCAGAGGAGCAGGATTGTTGATGTTTCGGGTCAAGACCCTTCTTCAGAAAGTTTATCTTTTTCCCTTTTGTTACAAATTTCTTTCCAACGTTGATCGGTCATATTAAAAAATATTACTTAAGTGTATTTTTTCCAGGGATTGTAACACTGCTGGTTGGATATTGGATACTGCTGTGGTTAGTTGGTAACACTGTGAAAAGGTTATGTGTTTAGACCAGTCCTGTGTTTGCTGGCTTACCTTGGCTCCTACACTGGAAACACCTCTGTTTAAATTTCATTATCGCTTCACATTTGTTGAAGGCCTCACCCCTCATTTGCAATAACTTCTAATATAGGCATTGTGTTATTTGTTCTTGCAACCCTGGTTTAGATACTGCACCATTGGTCACTGTGCCTCCAGCTGTAATACCGTGAAGTTTGGAATCCCCTTTGCCACTCTAATTCCCCCTCCTTCCCTAACAGGCAGCTTATGGGGCTCAGTGTCAGGTTTTGTTTGATAAAGCGTGTTGAGACATTTTACTGTTCTGTATAAATACATGTTCTTGTTATATCCACAAACTACCCCATTGCTGGGCCTACACTAGGGTAGCTTCATCCAGAATTTCGATTTCGATAGCAGACTAATCACCTGTATTATTTTAAATCGTGCCCAAACATATATAAAACACATCCTTAAACATGGACGGGCTGTGACTTTTTTCACTGGAGCATAGGAGGTTGAGAGGCGACCTGATAGAAACTTATAAACTAATGAGGGGTATAGATAGTTAGTTAATAGTAGGTGTCTTTTCCCTAGGGTGGGGGATTTCAAGACAAGGGAGTATATTTTTAACGTGAGAGGAGAGAGATTTTAAAAAAAAGAACATGAGCAGCAAATTTTTTATGCAGAGGGCGGTTTGTGTGAGGAACAAACTTGCTGAGGGAGTGGTGGATATAGGTACAGTTACAATGTTTAAAAGACATTTGGATAAGTACATGGATAGGAAAGGTTTGGAGGGATATGAGCCAGGAGCAGGCAGGTGGGACTAGTTTAGTTTGGGATTATGTTTGGCTGAAGGCTGTGTTTCCATGCAGTATGACTCTGACTCTCTCTGTGTACAGCTCCAAGCATTTTTCCTGGTCGCAGATGACATCATGGATCAGTCTATCACCAGGAGAGGCCATGTCTGTTGGTATCGAAAGGTACGGGGTGGAGGGGTTGGAGAGCAGCCTGTAGGCTGTTGGCTCCTGATAGGCTGACTCCGCTGTCACTGTGTTCAAACACCATCCAATACAGTCCCTCACATCTGTGTGAAAA